CATCGTGATCCTTTCAAGCTTTATGATGAGGCTTGCAAGGAATACTATGGAGAGTCATCCGATCAGCCCTGTCCCCATGGCAAGTCACAAATGGATGTCGATGATGAGGAGTACCACGAGGAAGATGATGATGACGACGACGATGGTGGTGGTGGTGACCGTGATGATGACGAGGACTACGACAATGAGTAGTCATTTCTTTCATGCGGCCTACCCTTTTTGGCACTTGTTGACAAAGGGGGAGTGTTAGGCTTTGATGTTATTGTAATAAGTTAGTTGGTCGCTTGGAGCTTGTGAGACTGTAAAACTTTTAGCCATGGGGACAGGGCTTGTATGAACTATGTTGTGTGGTTGCACTATGTGATGGACAACTATATTTGTGTGTGTGATGGATGATTGTAGGACAAGTAATGTTTATCTACATATCTATTAGTCTCTACATGTGAATGGTGGATGTTATTTTGGATGGCCATGTGTTGTTTCAAGTTGTCACTTTGAGATCTTGGCCATCATATTTTCTTTTACTTGTTGAGTGAATATAACATGTCATATTGCATTCTCTTTTTCACGGATATTCACTTATTCACATACACTTGTTGCACCCCACGGATTGCAAAATTTAGGGGGAGTTTCTACCTTAATATATGTAAGTGATGTGTTGATGATCATTATTGAAATTCAAATTCATTACATATATTAAGGGGGGCTCTCTATAAATTTTGGGGTTCAAAAGCTTTAAATTCTTACATTCTTATGAAAGCCTAAGTTGATTGTCATCAATTATCAAAAATGGAGAGATTGAGAGTGCATTTTCCCCTTATATGGGTTTTGGTGTATTGATGACATCCAAATTAGGGACTAATGAGATCTTAATGAGATATATTGCAGCTTTAGTCCCTTGAAAGCTTTAAAAGAGTTGATTTAAGATAAAATGGTATTCCTCAATTGTTCAAGTGCAAAAAATGGATGAACCCAAGTTTTGGGTTTAGGTATGCCATACTATAAAGAGGGATGCAAGTTTAGGTGGTCTGAGAAAGATAGAGTGCTCAAGCATAAAAATTAAATCAAAAGAGAGACACAAAATCACCTCACGAACACTTGGACATAGTTTGTGGACTTTTGGTAGTCAGAAGTTCTGGCATGAGCCGGAGTTCCGGCTGTCGAAAGTCCTAACGTTTGGTACCGGAAGTCCCGGCGCTTGCTGACTTAGCCACAGCCTGCCTATGCATCTTCGCCCGTCGAAAGTCTCGACTAGAGTCGGGAGTTCCGAGTGCCGAAAGTCCCGGCTCCCGCCGGAAGTCCCGATGCTTTGGGACTAGTCGCCTAGCTCACCATGTCTGTCGAAAGTCCCATAAGCCAGAAGTCCGGGGACCGCCGGGAGTTCCGACGATATACGAGCAAGCCTAGTGGACTGTCTGCATGAATAGTGTTTTTGCGTTGAGCCAGAAGTTCTGACGATCTGTGTCGGAACTTCCGACTCAGATCTGAACGGTTGGATTTGCCTTTGAGTATAAATAGCTCTCTTCTCTCTTCTAACCAGGATGAACTCATTCATTGCTCACCAACCTTCGTACAAAATAGCTCCCAAGCATTCAAGGCACCCCTCTCCTCTCCTCTTTGCTCCAATCTTTGATTCCCCTAGGGTGTTCAATGAAAGGAGAGTGGATCGAGTGAGAAAATCACTTTGGCAAGCTTAAGCACTTGATTTCTTCATCAAGACGGTTGGATTTGCGTCTCTTACTCTTGGGTTCTTGGAACCCTAGCCGGCTAGGCTGTCACCCAAGAGCTTCCATCTTGTGGAAGAGCCTTAGGAAGTTTGCATTACCCTTGATTTATTAGTGGAAAGCTCAAGTAACCTTTGTGGTTGCTTTGAGAGAGGCAAGGAGGTGGAAGAGACTCTGACCTTTGTGGTCACCTCAACAACGAGGACGTAGGAGCTCCTTTGTGGGGTTGCCGAACCTCGAGATAAATTCTTGTGTTCTGCGTGCTTGTTGTTGTTGTGATTTGTGCTATCACATTTGTTCTTGTTGGTTTGTCTTCCTCCCCAACTCTCCTCTTAGGGTTTGGACTCGAACTACGATGTGGTGACCTTCCAGCATCAAAGGAGCAACCCCAACCCTTCACCTTATCACTAGGGAGTGGGGTTGTAAGATATCTTTCACTCAAAGTTTGTTTTAGCACTTGTAGTGCAATTCTCGTAGGTGTCGGAACTCCCGGCTGTTTGCGTCGGAACTTTTGGCTGCCGGAAGTTTCGGCCCAAACTATCGAGACTTCCGACTGTCACTGACATTTGACTTTGAGATTACGCAGAAATTTTTAGATACGCCTATTCACCCCCCCCTCTAGGCATTGTTGAGATCATTTCACTTGGTATCAAAGCGAGGTCTTCTTTTAGCACTTCACCACGTGAGAAGAAACAATGTCGGAGACCGACAAGATGCAAGCCGACGTCACCGAGATGGCCAAGAAGATAGCTAAAGAGTTGATGACTGCTCAAGTCAAGTTCTTTCAAGATGAAATGAAAAAGATGCAAGATGAGATGAGCAAGATGAAGGAAGAATTGAGCAATAAGGTTGATGATGCAATAAGTGGCAAGAATGAAGCAAACAAAGATGCCGCTAGTGATATTGGAGCCGGTGAGCATGCTCATGAAAAGGTAATATATTCAAACATAAACTTCGACTATGGACAACTCATCAAAGGTTCACCTCTACATACCCCTTCCGTCAACATTGGTAAGCCACCTCACTTTGATGGAACAAGATACACTGATTGGTACTACAAGATGAAGATGCATCTCATTGCCGCAGAAATTTTTAGATACGCCTATTCACCCCTCCTCTAGGCATTGTTTAGATCCTTTCACAAGTAGAAGGTCATGAAGGTGACATACCAAGGCAAGAGAGTGACACTGCAAGGGGTCAAGGAACAGAACTCACCTTGTGCTTCAGTATCTTCCACTAAGCTCAAAGGCCTGCTCAAATCTGGCATGGTGTCCCACTGTATTTCATTTCAGTGCTATAGCCCAAAGGATCACTCTGAAGCTGAGTTATGTGTTCTGCAGTCGGTTGAGGATGTGGACTGTCCACCCCAGATAGTTGATTTATTGAAAGAACATGACCATCTGTTTGCCACTCCTACTACTCTTCCTCCACATAGAAGTGCAGACCACTCCATTCCTTTAGTCCCAGAAACTCAGCCTGTTAAAGTGAGGCCTTACAAGTATTTTCCTATCCAGATGGATGAAATTGACAGGCAACTACAAGAGATGCTACAGAATGGAATAATCAGGCCAAGTAGCAGCCCCTTTGCCTCTCCAGTGCTATTGGTTAAGAAAAAAGATGGCTCCTGGCGCTTTTGTATTGATTATAGACAACTCAATGTAATCACTGTGAGAAATAAGCACCCAATGCCAATTGTAGATGAATTATTGGATGAGCTTGCTGGTGCAGCTTGGTTTACTAAACTTGACTTCAAATTTGGCTATCATCAAGCATGAATGGCTGCTACATATCATAGGGTGAAACAGCTGTTTGCTTGGCCTTCTCTCAAACAATCAATACAGCTCTTTGTCCAACATTGTCAGATCTGTCAGTAGGCAAAACATGAGCATATCAAACCCCCAGGATTACTTGAGCCTCTGCCTGTTCCTTCTCAAGCTTGGGAAGTAGTCTACATGGATTTCATTGAAGGTCTCCCTCAATCAGATAGATTCAATGCAATACTCGTAGTCATCGACAAATTTACAAAATATGCACACTTCATTCCAGTGCATCATCCATTCACAGCACTACAGATTGCTAAGCTATACCTGGATCAGGTTTACAAGCTTCATGGGCTACCCAAGGCTATGGTTTCTGATAGGGATAGCGTATTTACAAGTACAGTATGGCAAGAACTGTTCAAGCTTATTGACACAAAGCTGCTGATGAGCTCTAGCTACCACCCACAAACAGATGGTCAAACAGATCGGCTAAACCAGTGCCTAGAAGCTTTTCTCAAGTGCATGGTACACTCTTGCCCAAGGTAGCGGAGTAAGTGGTTACCAGTGGCAGAATTCTGGTACAATACTGCCCAACATTCAGCTCTGGGCAAATCCCCCCTTTGAAGTACTATATGGGTACTCTCCTAGACACATGGGCATAAAAAATCTTCAGACTTGCTCTGTCCCAGATCTTGAACAATGTCTAAAAGAGAGGGATGCTGAACAGGCTCATTTTGCAGCAACTCCTGCGAGCTCAACAAAGGATGAAGGCTCAGCTGATAAAAATAGAACTGAAATAAGCTTTGCAGTGGGTGAGCTGGTGTATTTGAAACTGCAACCTCATCTGCAGTCTTTCTGTTACTTACAGAGGGAATCACAAGCTGCCCTTCTGGTTTTATGGTCCTTATGAGATATTGCAGAAAGTGGGACCTGTCGCTTATAAGCTTGCTCTGCCTGAATCAAGCAAGATCCATCCTATGGTGCACGTATCCCAGCTGAAGAAGCATACTCCACCAGCTGTCCAAGTATCTCAAGATCTGTCCACTGTATGCATCGATCCAATGCTGGTATTGCAACTAGAATCGTTTCTGGGTATCAGATACAGCACCAAAGGATCCTCCACTGTTCGCCAGGTATTGGTTCAATGGATGTCTTTACCTGCGGATATGGCTACTTGGGAAGAGGTTTATGATCTTCGTCGTCGCTTTCCGAAGGCACCAGCTTGGGGACAAGCTGGTTACGAAGGGGAGGGCATTATCAGGAAACGGGCCCGTATAGCTAGTGAGTAGTGGGCTGATTGGGCTGTGTCGTTCCGACCTTGTAAGTGTGGGCTCGGCCCGTTGTAGAAGAGCAACTATATAGCTGGCGCCTCGGTGATGAAGGGAGGCATGTAACAGTCTGGACATTCCTGTATCTGAATAGAACTCCACCTCGCGAACATCAGCCGCGTTCCATCCAATCCTGCCCCAAATTCTTTCTATCCAATCCCCAAATCTCTCATTCTATAAGTAGATCATTACACAGGGTCGATTCCCTCGGTGGGGAGAGGCGCCTGCACCACCCACAGGAACCGGTGCCCTGACCTCTCCAGGCCGACGGCGATCTCCTTGAGCTGCTTCGCCGAGTGGGTGGCGGAGCCTAAGCTTCCGAAGCAGAGGAACACGACGCTGCGCTCCGGTTGTTCGTCGAGCCACGCGAGGCACTCGTGCCTTTCTTTCGTCTCGCCGTCGGCGTCACCGTCGCCGGCTGCAATGACCAACGGCCCCACGCAGTACACCGGAGGCGTCCTCCTGCACCGACGGCCGTCGCCGTCGCCGATGGGGAGGAACAGTGGGTCCCTGAGACCTCTCACCACCCGGGCCTCCAGCGACGCGAACGTGTTCACCAGGATGCCATCGGGCTCGGGGTTCCGGCGCATCACACGCATCATCGTAGTATGACTCACTGGCCGGGTCGTGGAGCATCGATGGCATGAGGTACGACACTGGCATGGGTGGGACGCCGGAGATGCTGAGACGGGTGTCTCCGAGCTCCTTGAAGCTTGGCTGCTGGCCTTCCGCGTGGGTCCATGGAAGCTGGAGGAACACCGCGACGGCGGAGGCGTTGGTGGTGTAGAAGGTGTACGCCGGGACCCCGAGCTCCTTGGTGACGTCGAGCGCGTCGGCGGAGGGCCCGTCCACGATCACCGCGTGGACGACGCTTCGGGGAGGTTGCTGCTGTTGCAGGGAGGAGAGGAACTCACGGAGGCGGTCGTTGTAGCGTTTCACGGTCTTGAAGTACCAGAGGAGTGCGTCGCCGCCGCAGTCCATGATCGCGGGAGGGTTCTGGATCCGAGGGAGCCTGTGGATGGTGACCGACGGCTTGGCGGAGGCGACGCGGTCGACGGCGGCTGCCAGGGCGACGTCCTGGTCCATGGTGAGGTCGATGAGCGCCACCGCAACAGCGTAGCCTGCCTCCACGAGGGCGTTGCGTGCTGCATCATGGGTACGAAGTGGCTGACGAAGAGGCCGGGGTACAGAACGATCGTCCTCTTCATGGCTTGCATGCTGGTTGGTGCCGGAAGCAGTGCTTTCGATCGGGGAAGAAGATCGACTAGATAAACGTGGAGTGGAGGGCTGGAGGCAGCCTGAAGTCCGTTCTTTTTCTTTCCCTCCCAATGACATTTGAGTATTTGACCATTTATGCATGATGATACTCCTAGTATTCTAGACGCCGTAGACTCGTAGTGGTGTGGTGATGGTGGCAGTACTGCAGGCGAGTCTCGTCCACAGCGGGAGCGTCTGGGTGCCAACCATATAGCTAGTCTGAAATAAAATTACAGGTATATACAGCTTTTGTTCTCAACTTCTACACAAATGTGTTTGTTGGGTGCGTTTGGTTGTCACAATCTAACAATCCACTCTTCACCAGTTCTTCTAAGCATTTGTTTTTTAAATGAAAAGAAACTTCCGTGGAATTATTCCCTCTGAATCTTTCCATCCTGGCTCCCACTTAGATTCTGTTGTCAAAAAATATATAGCACAATGATTCAGAGTCCCTTTTTTTTGTCGAATCAGAGTCGTAGTATGGTTAGACCTCGATGAACGGATGTGTAGATTACTGCCAGTTGATGTGCGGTAGCATGCATCTGTTGAATAGACTGGTACCTATATTTTTTCAATGTAAAAAAGACAGACGCAGGTGAAGCTCGCGGTCGCGGAAGAGCGCGCGGATGCCGTGTTCGGCGAAGGCACCGGAGTGGGAGCCCATCAGCCAAGCGGAGGGGAGGGGAGGAGAGGAGACCGATGGTCATCGCTTGGCAGCTGGAGAAAAAAATAAATAAATAAAGACGCCCGCACCTTCGGCCGTTTCCCATGCTATTTGAGTGGAAGCAAAAGATAGACCATCCTCGCCGAGGTTGGGGCCCACCACCGTGTCCCCACGGTGAGGGAACGTCACCAGCATTGAGAAAAAGAACAAGAAGGAGGAGGGCGGCGGATTCCAGTGATTAGCGCTTGGGAGGAGGAGAAGACACGGAGATTAGAGAGCACATACGTGATGCGCTCAAACCAACGAGAAGGAAGATACAACATCTGATCTACTTTTGAAATATCCAAATGAAACATTTGCAACATGTGTCTGAAGCCAGATAAAACACTTGAAACATGCGTGTTAAACACTTGCAAAAAAACACATGAAAACACTTAAAATGTCATTACAAAACATATGCAACATCCTGATAAAACACTTGCAACATATGCGTAAAACATATGCAACATCCAAATAAACGCATTTGCTACATACGTATGTAAAAACAGATGAAACATTTAGAATAGACGCTTACAACATATGTGTACAACCAGTGCAACATGTGTAACATCTCGATTTACTTTTGCAACATCAATATGAAACACCTGCAACATACCTTTGAAACATCTGAAACACTTGAAATATACGCTTTGCAACATATGATTTCTGCGCAACATCCCCTTGCTGCGTGGGAGAATGGAAGCTCGTTGTCATGTGGAGTTCACTGGTGCCGAGCTCACCAGTGGTGCGGACCTCGCCACTATGGTGGAGAAACCGCAGGTGTGGTGGAGAAGGCCGCGAGAGGGTCTCCACATTGTGCGGGTGGAGCGCGAGCTGTGCGTGAGGTGAGGTCCGCTGCGAAAGCTATGCGTGAACGAGTTCCATCCCGCCTGTCACGAGCTATGCGTGGGCGAGTTCTGCTCTAGCCATGGTGAGCCGGGCAGGCGGAGCTCGAGATGTTGCGGGCAGGCTCGCCACCGCCATGACAGCCGCACGCGGGCGAAGCTCCACCACAACAACACGGCGAGCAATTGGCAGCCTCCGCCTTTCGGCCGGGATGAGCCATGGGCAGCCAGAAGATGAGATGAGCATGTGATGAGCGCGAGCAGCCTCCGACCCAGGTGGCTGTCGCGAAAGCTCACAAAGAAGGATTGATTACAGGGTCTCGTGTAGCATGCGCCCGCTTGGATGTACGATTTTTTAATTAGAACTGCAGTGACAAATGGAGAGAGGGTACATTTGGGCTGGCATCACCGCCCACCGGTCTGGCCGGACGGATGCTCTATTCCAATGTTTTTTTAGTGCAAAAATACCCTTGTTTCGGCCGCATCAACACAGGAGGTTTCGTCTGGTATTATTTTTAAAAAACTCGACCTGCGGGGGTAAGACAGCCCCCGAACATTGTGCTTAAGAAGAAGACCCGCAGGTCGAGAAAACCCACGAACCTCAGCCCCACCCATACATAGCGTCACCGCAACAATCGTGAGACTGAACTGGCCTAAGACCTGTGCTTTTGCGTGGGGCAACTGAAGAGATTTCTTTCCATGCGTAGATAAACTGTGTCTCCTCCGGCCAATAAATCCGTCCCCGAGGGGTTCGAACTCTGGCCGGCTGGTATTGTTTTTAGCACAAAAATACCCTTTCGGCGGCATCAACACAGGAGTTTTTTTTTTTGTCTGGTATTGTTTGATTGAATTAAACACGTTTTGGCGAGCCTCTGTCCACACGAATTGCTCTTCTCTTTTATTCTGAGCAATTGCTCCCTGCTCCTCAACCGGCCTGCTGTGTTGAAGATGAACGAATTCATTTTCCGGTCTTTGTATATCACCCCCCCCCCCCCCCTCTAGACCGATTGCTAGATGATCTTTCCTTTTTTTAGGACAATCAGGTAGGCTTTATTAACAGCATCCCCTTCCATCCAAACTAACCCACAGTGGTATTCGAGCTCATGTACAAGGCCTTGGGTGGGCCGTGAGATGCTACGGCCCACGGTTGAGATCTGAAGCGGGCCGAGTGCAATTTAGCTATTCTTGGGCCTATCTTGTTGTGCCTCGGTGGGCCTCGGACAGGGACAGGGGGGTGTCGCAGCGGTCCGCGCCAAAGTAATGTAGCGGACCGAGGCTTTGGACTCGGACGCTGTGGCCTGTGGCGTGCCGAACTGCCGACTGCCGTGGTGGCTCCTCCCTCCCGATTCCCGAATCACTGCAGCTTTTCGGTTACCTGTCCCGCTGTCCGGTGAAGTTGGGAAATGGAAGCGGAAGCCGGACAAGCGAGAGTACAGTCGTACACTACACAAGGCGACACGGGGACTCCGACGCCCGCCAGCCGCCACCACGCAAAAGTGCACCGCTACTACCAGGTAACCTCGTGAACTGTTACGCCAGAACGCCCAGTAGAGCCAACAAGCAGCTCATCGGCCTGTTCAAACGATCGTAAATTTCAAACTATTTTTCTCTCGCACCAGCCAGTAGTAATAATGCACGATCGATATACGATTGTTTGAGCTCCAGCCCAGCCGAACAATGGTCCATGTCATGATGTACTACTTAAATTCATAAACTCTCAAAATGTATTTATAGGTCACCCAACTTATCAAATGGTGTACCGCAGGTCCTTCATCGGCGTTTTTTTTATTACGTGGCATATCAATGTGGCATGTTTTTTTTTTGCATCTAACCCCTTACAGCTAGGAACAAAGCGCGCCTTGTCACCATGGCCGCATCATCGCGAGCAACAACAGGGACCAGCGCGCGCTAGCGCCTTTGACTCGGATGCTGTGGCCTAGGCTTGTCGAAGTGCCTCCTGGCAGCGCAGCTTTTCGCCGAGGGAAGCGCAGTCGGACAAAGCGCCTCACTACCGCGACGCCCTGGCCACCACGCTGCACCACTACTACCAAGCCTCGCCCGCGAACGGCCGGTAGAGCGCGCAGCTCATCGGCCTGTTCAAACGTGGGTCAAGGTACGCGTGGCAGTTCCCGCAACGATACTTGCCGCCGTGGCCGCCGCCGACATCGCGCAACGCCAACGAGCGGTGCGGCAACGCCCTGCTGCTCCAACCTGATCGTGATCGTGATCGTGATCGTGGTCTCTCCCTCGCTCCTTCACGCCGCCGCTGCCGCTTGCAGTTTATAGTCGCAAGTAGGAGAGTACTTACTATATACACATACGTAGCTGGTGTTGCAATCTAAATATCTAATAGCTGTCGTTACCATGTTTTGCATTGCTGCGTTGTTGTTACAGTACAATCTTAGAATGGCTCTGCATTGCTTCATGTTTTGCAATTTGCATTCCATGCCTCTGACAAAACTGAAGCAACGTCAAAGTAATAATCCTAGTAACACAGGATGCACACATGCAGTACATGGTTTGAGGTACGGAAAATGTTCTTTGCGTGGCTACAATACATACAGTTGCAAATTACAATACACTCTGCACAGCACACAATCGGACGCAGAGATAGAGGATAAACATTTGCCTTGAGCAAACAATGCCCACCACAAGTCCACACAGCAAAGCAACAACCAAGATGACTGACGAAGGCATGCAGGAGTATGTATGTAACTACTATCTACACGAGAACAATGAACAAGCCGAGGAATTTGGTGGCCGGGGTAGTCCCTTTGGACCGGTGCTTGGCCGCCATGTCCTCGTACTTGAGGATTGCCTCGCGCCGCCGCGCCTCCATCGACGTGCGCTTCTCTTCCGCCTCCTTGTGGACGGCTGCCACCTGGTTCCTCATCTTCTCCGCGTACTCCGCCTTCTTCTTCTCCAGCTTCGCCTGCGACCATCGCCAGCCCATGGTCAGCTCCGCTCAGCGGTTGATACATGGTCATCATAACAACAGAAGCAGCGACCCCAATGTGCCGTGTGCGGCCGCCGCACTTGCGCACTTCATCGAGCGGCGTGGTGCTCCATGCCTCCTTTGCACACCATCCGCCATACTCGCTCTGCACCACTCCTGCCCTCGCGGAACGCACGGCTCGCGCTCGCCCTCGCCGTCTCGGCTTGCTGGCCGCGCGCAGGCCCTGCCCTCATAAGCAGGAGGACGACGATGCGGCCACGACGTCCTCAGTCTCCTTGGCCTCTTCCGCCTCGTCTCTCTTGCCGGCCGCCGCATCTGTTGTGCGCGTCGCGTGTGGAAGGAGGAGCAGGAGCTGCGGTGGTTCACGCCAGTGGAGGCGCGGTAGGAAGCGGCGGTGGCTGCAAGCGTGGTATGAGTGTGAGTGGCGGCGGCAGGACCGGTAGGAGCGCAGGAGTGGTGTGTGCGATGGTGGAGTGTGTTATCCTCGCGGTCGTGCACATGCTCGTCACGTTGTGCCAGCGCGCGTTCTGTTCCTGGCTGTAAGGGGTTTGATGCAAAAAAAAACCATGCCAAGTTTCATGCCACTTAAGCAAGAAAACGCTGACGGAGTTGTATGGACCCACGGTGCACCATTTAACAAGTTATGTAACCCATAAAAATATTTTAAGAGTTCATGGACCAAAGTGGTACATCATGACAAGTTCATGGATCCCCGATGCATTTAACTCTTTAAAGTTTAAACCCGGCACATTTCATTTCAGATTCATATCGCTATGTCCATGCTTCATTTCATTTGAAACGTAAATTCGTTCCTTCTGATTGGCTACATCGCACATTTGATTTCTTATCATGGCCTCATGGGCCTCTTTGACAAGGCTCATACGAGTCTCTTTTGAAAATGCACTACAAGATGAAGACGACGGTGAGCCATGATTTAAGTCTCGCCAAAGATGCCCTATATTTTCATTCCACTACCACTACGGTACGGTATCCCATTAACCATCAACTAGTGTATGCGGAAACAGTTCTTTCTCTCTATCAACAATCAGGAATTCAGAAGTTCATCCAAACGGTGCACTACTTCATCCAAAAACAAAAACAAAAAACAGAAGTAGTCAATCCCACACGATTAGAAACCACCAAGATTAGAGATGTCAATAGCAGCCAGCCATCTGCAACACCACGAACGCATTCACAGCCATGCTATGCAAAATCCCCGCTATGCAAAATAAGCTACTCCCTGCTAACAACTACTACAAAATACTTGTATCAACAAGGTTCCACCACGCCCTCCAGCGCTGTTGGTTCGGCTCACAAGAACGCATCCCACCAGCCGATCATCAGGCTTAGCGCAAGGCCGAGGAGGAGGGCGGCGGCGGTGGCGCCGCGCGGCGTCGCGGAGGCAGCCGCAGAGCCCGTGCTGGCGGTGCGCTCGAACTGCAGCGAGTCCACGGCCAGCGGCATGTTCTCCTGGTCGGGGCTGCACCGTGGCGGCGCGCCGCTGCCGCTGCCACCGGACTCCGTCGGGTGCGCGGTGTAGAGCATGGCGCGCAGCACGGCGGAGACGGTGGGGATGTAGGCCGTCTTATTCTTGGCCAGCAGCCACGTGAGGCCCATCAGCTGGCAGTCCCGCCCCAGCATCCGCCGCGCGCTGTCGCCACCGGCGCCCGAGACCTCGCGGCTCACGTTCCCCTTCAGCTGCACAGCACAGGACAGAAGGGAGGAGGGCAACCGAACCTGCAGGTTAGCACCGTGACCTCGCTCGTATGCGAACAAAGACCTGAAGAAACGCGAATGCAGTTAATGTGGTTCATGCAGGGGACGTTCTTGCGATGCAGGTTTTGTTGCAAAGTTGGTGGGCTTTGTTCCAGCACTCAGCGTTGCATTTGGCTTGCTCGGCCTCTCAGTAAATGCTCCCCATGCACAACAACCTGTTCTTACCGCGCACGCACACACGTTCTCCCGACCGATTTGGTCGCGTTGCCACTAGTTTCAGTAGTAGGTTTTTGCAATGCAAGCAAGTGAATGTCAAAAAGTTTGAGGCTCGATAATGCATGATTGTCAATGATAACATGATGACTGTTCGTCATAATCATGTCGTTCAGAGACTAATACGATGCCAATCTGGATGCAGGACAGGCAAGTCGGGGACAAGGTCTGCTCAATAATCCACGGCTTTCGATGCTGCAAGTGGTGGTTAACCAGCTAAAGCATTCATAATTGAAAAAGACATTGCACATTGTGGCTGTCGTCCGCCTTAGGATAGTTTCTCCCCACACGTGTGTTCAAGGAATGGTCCTGTCCTGTGATTAGCTGGCGGGCTAACTCACTGCAGCTACATTTTTTGGTGACTTCTCACTGCAGCTACTGGGGATTGCCCTTTCCCACGGTGGCTTTAGGAGAGAAAGGCAATCAAGTAGCAAATGATTAGTAGTGATAGTGATCAGCTCAAGAACAAGCAGATCATTTTGAAAGTTGAAACAATGATGCACTTAGAAAGTGCAGTGGAAATGGAACCCTTTGTGGGAAAGGGGATCTCCGGCAACGCCATCAAAATGGCCACTTTTTGATAGATAAAAAGAAGGAAAGAAGGAGAAAAGGCATCGCTTGTAGCGCCGTATTATTGCTCTGCAAGAGTAGTATAAATTGACAAAATTGTTCAAGTTTTTCCTCTCTATATAAGCAGGGGGTAGAAATGAGAAATCGATTAATGATTTGAATCCAAGAAGGCAAGATATGCGCGGTGTAACATTTCAAAGATTAGTTAGGACTGCGAAAACAAAAGAGACAAGAAGAACGGAAAAGGTGCGCCAAAGCAATGGTCATTATTTTATTAATTTACGAGAGAAAGCTAGCAAGAAAGGTTTACCTTTTGCAGGGACTGCACGCATCGGGAGCAGCCGGCGTAGGAGGCGTTGCGGCAGCTCTTCTCCAGGTCCTTCACGGCGGCGGTGGGCGTGGCGTTCTTGGCCGCGGCGCCAGCGCCGACGGCGAATGCGGCGGGGCAGCGGAGCGAGCCGATCTGGTGGAGCCGGATGCCGCAGAAGCAGAGCACGGTGTCGCACGTGGCGTTGGGGCGGGGCAGCGCCACCCCGCGCTTGTCCAGCGCGGCGCCCAGCGCGTCGACGCACCTCTGGTTGTCGTACGGCACCATGGGCCCGTCGTCGCCGGGGCCCAGCCCCTCCTCCCCGGCGAGCGCCGAGGGCGCGGGGGCCGGGGGCACGGACAGCGCGGTGCGTGCGTGCGCCGCGAAGAGCCAGGCCGCGAGCACCGGGCAGCAGCGGCCGCGGTCCAGCGAGCCCGGGCCCCCGCCAGCGCCGCACGCCGCGGCCACGCCGCCGAAGAGCTCCGCCGAGAGGTCGAGGTGGCACGGCGGCGAGGAGGCGTTGGACGGGGACGAGGAGTTGGACGGGGACTGCGCCTGCGAGAGCGGGAACGACGGCACGTCGGAGCCGCGGGACGAGGGAACGACGGCTAACGCGAGCAACAGCGCGACGGCGAGGTGCGCCGACATTGCCGCCGGCGACGTGGACCAGGTGGCCGTGGCGGCAGGAGTGAGCGAGAGCCAAGAAGTGGTGTGTGAGTGTGTGGCCTTTCTTTGGGGACCGCCGGACCGGGTCCGGGTGTTGTATATAAGCCGAACCGCGACCGCGAGGTCGGGAGTTGGGACTCGGGAGTAAAGATGGCAACGGCCCAGATACCTGATAGGTATTTGATTTATTAGGGGATGGGAATAGATCATATAATTAACCGCGGGCATTTAAATGGACAAGAGTCCATCCCCGACGGGTATAGCGGGTATGAGAACATTCCCTGTTTACTCGTCCCCGTTATCCGTTGGGGAACCCGACTATTTGAGCTGTCATGCGAGTATTAGGTCCAAAGAAGCTCAACATAGGTATTTTGGTCCAAATCTAAATAATCATATATATAGTTTGTGTGTTTTAGGAACCCTAGTTCAAATTTTCCTCACCATCTCCGCCAACAGCATAAGCATGTCTGTCTCACGAGCGCTCGTGCTCCTCGCTTCCTCAGTTCGGTCTCTCTGTCACCTTTGCTCGTTCTCCTCGCAACCTCGCTCCTTTTCTTCGGCATCTCCGAGACTCCGACACTTATACCCGGGTGAAGAAGAAACGTCTCCGATTGCAAAGCTGCGACCCTAGTGTCCTTGTTTATCGGGTATGCAGTACCCGTCGGGTATCTGTCTACCCGACCGATGCCCGACGGGTACGGGGATGGGTAAGAATCTATACCCGAGATAGTTAACGGGGACGGGGACGGGATGAATTCTCCGTAGCGGGGAAGAGAACGTTCCAGCGATACTCGACGGGTACATCCCCGTTGCCATCCATACTCGGGAGGGGCATGTCTGTGGGAGTTTTCTCGGTTGAGGCCTTGAGGGGGATATCTGAAGAAGAACATGCGAAATTTTATGTCTACTGTAGCTTCTCTATTTTTACCAAACACAGGTAGGGGTGCTGCTAGCTAGCTAAAACACACAGCCAGACGCACGTACGTATGAACACCCACGCCTACCCCAAGAACACATCAGAAACCGAAAGATTTACTGTCAAGTTCAAGACTTAAAACTGAGTGAACAGATTACACGACAAGGAACTTGACCAACGGAGCTCCAGCTCTAACTCCAACTCCAGTTTACCCAAAGCTTCTCCCTTGGTATTGTATCGAATCTACTGCTTCCTCTAATCGTTAAATATAGTCTATCTAGATTGCTTCAAGTCAAAATCTTCTAAATTAAAATGTCCGTATCTAAAATTTTGCATAATTAAAAAAAAACAGGATTCGCGTTACTAGATTCACTATAAAATGTACTTTCATAGTATATAACTCTTTCATCTAAGATAATGCTACACTTTACATGGATATTTGCTAGTCAAAGTTAAAAAAGAATTTTACTTAAGACAAATTCAAATGGTTATTTTTTTTATTGGAGAAAATACTTAGAAAAGGTCATAACTAGTTACCTCAAATGTTAT